AGGATATATACAATTTAAATGATCTCCACTTCTTTTCAATGCCTGTTAACAGTAACTACCTGAATAATTAATATAACCTAGAGCGTTATATTATTTGGGAGATCATGATGAGACCATAACCCCCCTGATTAAATATTAGAAAACTGATGTCTAGACTGGCAGTTAGTCAGCTGCTGAGCTGGGACTACAATTTCTGTATTCTTTTCAAACTCTAGGTGCTAAAAACACAATATAATTAGGTACAATTCTTCAGTCTGACCAGTGAGTGAATTTTTTATGGCTTTTCAATGAAGTGTAAAATGCTCTGAAAGTGTCAAACAGGCTCTGAGGTTGTAGAGGCAAGTGTGACTTACCGCATTTGATTTTTCTAGTGAGTTCTATGTGATCTGACACTAAGCAGCTACACTTAAAGCTCTGAATAAGCAAAAGGGTGTGAATATATAGGAAATATCTAAAATAACACTCATTTGTAAAGCAATACTTTGGGACTGGCACTGTGGCATAGAAGGTTAAGCCTCTGCCTGCAAAACCCAGCATTCCAAATGCGCACTGGTTTGAGTTCCAGCTACTCCATTTCCAATCAAGCTCCCTGTTAATGCACCTGGGAAAGCAGTGGAAGATGGCCTAAGTACCTGGGCCCCTGTACCCATGTGGGAGACCAGGAAAAAGCTCTTGGCTCCTGGCTTTTGCCTGGTTCAGTTCTGGCCATTGCAGCCATTTGGGGATTGAACCAGTGGATGGAAGATCTCTTTCTCTCTCTCTCCTTCACTCTCTATGTACTTCTGCTTTTCAAATAAATAAAATAAATTTAAAAAAAGAAATACTTCTCACAAATATGAAGCTCTAGCAAAAAGTATCAACCTCTCTTGTAAATCCACAATTTACTAAATTACTATTAGAGGTTAAGCACGAATACAAATAAAACGAGGCCTAATAATTCGGCTTGTTCTAAAAGTCTATCAAAGAGAAAAGTAGCACAGAACCTTTACAAAACCATGTTAATAAACCTGGGCCATCATCCCTCTCCAAAGTCCATTTCTTGAAGAAAAATGTGTATTTAATCATTTTAAATGTTTATACTTTTTAAAAATTAATTTATTTGCAAGGCAAAGTGAGAGACAGAGATTGACTGATTGATTGATTGATTGATTTGAGATCTTCCATTTGCTGGTTCACTCCCCAGATGCCTGCAACAGCCAGGGCTGGGCCAGGCTGAATCCACGACTCTGGAACTCCATCTGGGCCCAAGCACTTGGGCCACGACCTGCTGCCTCTCAGGATGCGTTAGCAGGAGGCTAGGTCATCAAGTGGAGTAGCTGGGATTCGACCCAGCACTGTGATGTGGTATGTGGGCACCTCAACCCACTGCGCCATAATGCTATTTTATATGTTAAAAATACCATCTTAGGTTGTTTTCCCAATTAAGCATATCATGCTTGGATTCATGACAAACTAAGGCCCATGGGTCAAATCCAGCCTGCTGCCTGCTTTTCTATAGCCAACAAACGAAAAGTGATTTTTAAAGTTTTCAAATGCTTGATGAAAAACTATCAAGAGTATCTCAAGGCAAATGAAAATGTTAAGAAACGCCAATGGCAATGTTCCTGAAGAAAGCTTTACAGGACTTGTGCTCCTTTGTTTATGTATTCCCTGCGAATGCCTTCACACGACTACGGCAGAGGTGCCACAAATGCTATCTGGGCTTTCATATAAAAACATTTGCTGACTCCTAAATAATTCTTTGGAATATAAAAAAAATTAGGGGCAGGTGTCTGGCCTTGTTGGTTAAAACATCTGAGTCCCACATCAAGTGCCTAGGTTCAAGTCCCAGCTCTGGCTCCCAATTCCAGCTTGCTGTTAATGCAGACTCTGAGAGACAGCAGGTGATGATGGCTCAAGTAGCTGGGCCCATGCTACCCACATGGGAGACTGGGATTGAACTCTCGTCTCCTGGCTTCTTCCCATGCCCAGCCCTGAACACTGGGAGCATCTGGAGAGTGAACCAGAAGTCTGGAGACATCTCTCAGTGTCCATCTATTTCTCTGACTCTCAAATAATAAAAATAAAAGATATAATTAGAGGGGCTTTATTTGTAGTTTGCTACGTAAGCATTTCCAATTTTTAAACAAGTGTATGTGGCCGGTGCTGTGGCATAGCAGGTAAAGCCACCACATCGAGTGCTGGCATCCCATATGGGTGCTGGTTTGAGTCCCAGCTGCTCCACTTCCAATCCAGCTCTCTGCTATGGCCTGGGAAAGCTGTGGAAGATGGCCCAAGTCCGTGGGCCCCCGCACTCGTGTGGGAGACCCAGAGAAGGCTCCTGGCTCCGAATCACCACAGCTCCGGCCATTGCAGCCAACTGGGGAGTGAACCAGCGGATGGAAGACCTCTCTCTCTCTCTCTCTCTCTCTCTTTGCCTCTCCTTCTCTCTCTGTGTTAATTCTGACTTTCAAATAAATAAATAAATAAATCTTCGGGGCTGGCGCCGTGGCACAGTAGGTTAATCCTCTGCCTGTGGCGCCAGCATCCCATATGGGCACTGGTTCTAGTTCTGGCTGCCTCTCTTCCAATCCAGCTCTCTGCTATGGCATGGGAAGGCAGTAGAAAATGGTCCAAGTGTTTGGGCCCCTGCACCTGCGTGGGAGACCGGGAAGAGGCTCCTAGCTCCTGGCTTCAGATTGGCACAGCTCCGACCATTGTAGCCATTTGGGGAGTGAACCAGTGGAAGGAAGACCTTTCTTTCTGTCTCTCCCTCTCACTGTCTGTAGCTCTACCTCTCAAATAAATAAATAAAATCTTTAATAAAAAAACACTTTAAAAAAATTAAACAAGTGTAGATTACTCTTTTTTGCATTATTTTTATGCCGTAAATAATTCTGAATAATGAATACTTGTGAAACTCCAGATTTTCTGACTTATGGAAGCTCTGAAAAATATAAGTGAAGATTCAACATAAATCAATTGGTGTTAGAGTGGCCACAGAGTAAAAAAGGAAGGCCTGGCAAAAGAAACAAGGAGCTCTACTCCTACTCCTACTCTACTGAAGCCACGGCCTGCAGTGCAGGCATCCCATATGGGTTCTGGTTCAAGTCCCAGATGCTCCACTATCCTGCTCTTTGCTATGGCCTGGGAAAGCAGCAGCAGATGGCCCAAGTGCTGGGGCCCTTGCACCCGTGTGGGAGACTGGAAAAAGCTCCTGGCTCCTGGCTTCAGATTGGCACAGTTCTGGCCATTGGAGAAATTTGGGGAGTGGACCTGCAGATGGAAGCCACTCCGACCCATACCTCTCTGTAACTCTGCCTTTCAAATAAATAAATTTTTTTTTTTTTTTTTTTTTACTTAAAGATTTATTTATTTGAAAGTCAGAGTTACACAGAGAGAGGAGTGGCAGAGAGAGAGAGAGAAGTCTTCCATCTGCTGGTTCACATCGCAATTGGCTGCAATGGCTGGAGCTTTGCTGATCCTGGATCCAAAGCCAGGAGCCAGCAGCTTCCTCTGGGTCCCCCACGTGGGTGCAGGGGCCCAAGGACTTGGGCCATCTTCTACTGCTTTCCCAGGCCATCGCAGAAAGCTGGATCAGAAGAGGAGCAGTTGGGTCTCGAACCAGCGCCCACATGGGATGCCGGCACTCCAGGCCAGGGCATTTTACCCACTGTGCCACAGCGCTGGCCCCTCAAATAAATAAATCTTAAAAAAAAAAAAAAAAAAAAAAAAACAGTGGAAGATAACAGGTACCAAGACTGGTTACAGGGATAATAGTAGCATCATTAATAGAAATAAGAGTGTCATGAGGAGAAGCTAACACACAGTGAAGTCTGGCTGCAGTTTTGCAAACGCTGAATTTGCAGACTGTTGGAGTATCTATATGAGGAAGTCAATCAATCATCAGTATAGCAGAGAAGCTTTCAGGGGCTGGCATCAGAGACACAGGTACCACCGCAATTCTACACAGCTGGAGGTTCCCAGGAGCACTCTGATTAAGGGGCTTTAACTTTATGTTTTGTGGAACATGGTAATTACAAGGAGAAGGGGAAGTTTTAAATAAATAATGAGTCACAGGAACCTATTCGTTTAAATGATTAAATGCACATATGAAATTGTCAGATGATGACTTCATCAACTCTATCTTTACAGAAATGCACAAAAAGTAAAACATTTTCAACAACTAGAGGTAACTATAAGTCCTTAAAGAGTTAAAAAAATAGGAAAAATAATCTCTTTAATCTTAGAAGTTAGACACTGAAATTAGGATATATCTTGCTTCAATCACAGACTAACAGAAAATTGCTGCTAAAGGAAGACTTTGAGATAATTTTGAGGTTATCTGTTTCAACCTTCCAAGATGAGACAACCACAGAGACTGCGTGACTCCTGCCAGGCCCCGCAGATAGCCACGGTGAGGATCAAGACTGGAAACCAGTGCTCTTTCCACAACATTCTGACCTCTAAATTTTACGAAAACATTTATCTGGTGACACTCTTTTATGCAGCCTGAACCTTTATAACATGCATGGTGCCAGTGAGCACTATGAAAATTAAATGGCATTATACAAATGTTAGGTTTTGTTTAGTCAGTTATTCTTACAGCCAGTTTAAAAATAATGATTTTCGTTTTCTGAAGTATGTTCAGAAAAACAGTATTTACATTACTGAACAAAGTCTAAGTTTTTTCTGTTCATCAATGTAGTATGACACCACCTGTTAGCCCCTGAAAACTGAACACTCTAAGAACTGCAGTTTAACAGCAGACTCTGTGAGAGTTTTGCACAATGTCTGTAAGAAAAAATGAGTCCATTTTATTCCAAAGGCTAGCCGGCCGTGGAAGTTTTCTCCCACCATGAGATAACATAATTTAAAAGGAACTCCGAGTTTTTCACAGTGACAAAAAGCACAAAAACGCTTAGTTAAAACAGTGTGAAGACAGGTGAAACCCACACTGATCACTCCAGACGACCAAGACACAAGCTTTACCACGCGGCACACACACACACACAGTTTACCTCAACACAGGCTTTCATCCCCGAGGCGGCAGCATAGTGCAGGGCTGTGTTTTTCTTGTTGTCCACGGCATCGATGGCCGCTCTCTCGTATTCTCCCTGGTCCAGCTTCGCTCCTTTCCATCTCAGGATCATCTGCAGACAATCCGCTCTCCTGAAGTCGTCTTCCGCGGGGCGCGCTAAGCGAGGATGAAGGGCTCCTTCAGAGATCATAATTTGAGGCCCCATACACAACAAATGCATAGATGTCTCATTGTGCACATTCCGTTTATTTGGATTTCCATCTCTACCAAAAAGAAAAGTCCTAAAATGGAAAGGAAGGATTGAAAACCACTTTTTTTCTGACCTGGAAATACACAGAAAAATAACAAATTTAAAAAATAAACTCTACTTCTAAGTTCGTAATCCAACTTCTACTGATGGGGCTTGGGTCACAGGAGGGTGAATGACTAATTCTCACAGCTTGAAAAAAAAAACCTCCATTCAAGAATAACAGTACTGAGAAAAAGAAATGAATGTTTTTATAGTAGCTGCTAATAAAAAGGGAAAGACATGGAAAAGAAAAGAGGAAATGAAGGGAAAGGGAGGAAAAAAGATATGAAAGAAGGGATGGGGGATAGGAAGGAAAAGATAGTGAGGATAATTTACAGATGAACACAGCACCTACACCAATATCTGATGGAACAGGAAGCATTCCATACCAACTATCTTTTCCTTTATTGCTCTTCCCTATTTCTCTCTTTTTTTAATAGAAAGCTTTTACTTAATAAATGTAAATTCCATAAGTACAACTTTTGGATTATAGCAGTTTTTCTCCCTATACCTGCCCTCCCCCAGGCCTATTTCTCTTACTACATATTTATTTAATAAGGATGGTGACACCTGATATAAGGACAGCAAGTAATACATAAATCTCAAGGTATAAATTGAGAAAAACTTTCTCTACCAGAAAGTCATTAAGTAGCCATGGAAATAACAAGGCAGATATTTATACAGTATCTTAGTTTGCTTGAGCTGTTATGACAAAAATACCCATAAACCGGATGGCTTATAAACAGCAAGCAATTATTTCATTAAAAAAAATCACATTTACTTCTCACAGTTCTGGAGGCTTGGAAGGACAAGATCAAGGTGCCAGTGTCTGGTAAGGGCCCAATGCTCAGAGGGTTTCTTTATTCATTTTAAAGATTTTGTTTTTTGGGGGGGCTGGCACTGTGGTATAGTGTGTAAAGCTACTGCCTGCAGTGCCGGTATTCCATATCAGTGCTGGTTCAAGTCTCGGCTCCTTCACTTCCGATCCAGCTCTCTGCTGTGGCCTGGGAAAGCAGAAGATGGCCCAACTCCTTGGGCCCCTGCACCCATGTGGCAGACCCAGAAGATGTTCCTGGCTCTGGATAGGCCTAGCTCAGGCCTTTGCTGCCAGCTGGGGAGTGAACCAGCGGATGGAAGACCTCTCTCTTTCTCTGCCTCTCTATAACTCTGCCTTTCAAATAAATAAATTAATTAAAAAAAAAAAAGGATTTTTTTTTTTTTTTGAGAAGTAGAGTTATAGTCAGAGAGAGGGAGAGACAGAGAGAGAAGTCTTCCATCCGCTGGTTCACTCCCCAAATGACCACAACAGCCAGGGCTGAGCTGATCTGAAGCCAGGAGCCAGGAGTTTCTTCCAGGTCTCCCACATGCATGCAGGGGCCCAAGGAATTGAGCCATCTTCAACTGCTTTCCCAGGCCATAGCAGAGAGCTGGATCAGAAGTGGAACAGCCAGGACTCAAACCAGTGGCCATATGGGATGCTGGCATTGCAGGCTGGGGTTTTAACTCACTGCACCCCAGCGTGGGCCCCTCTTTTTTTAAAGATGTATTTATTTATTTGAAAGTCAACAGTTACAGAAAGACAGGGAGAGACAGAGATCTTCCATCTGCTGGTTCATTCCCCAAATGGCTGGACCAGACCAAAGCCAGGAGCCAGTTTACTTCTTCCAAGTCTTCTGCACTGGTAGCAGGGGCCCAAGCACTTGGGCCATCTTCTGAAGCTTTTCCCAGGACATTAGCAGGGAGCTGGATCAGAAGGGGAACAGCTGGGACATGAACTAGCACCCGTATGGGATGCTGGTGTCACAGGCGGTAGCTTTTACCCTCCACACTACAAGGCCGGACCCAGTGGTAATTCTTAATGCTCTATCACTCTCTGACTCCTCACCTTCCTCTAGACCAAATTCTGACTTCCCAGAAACCCCTTCTCTTGTCTATTTTGTTTCATCTCTTATTCCATGGTGGTCCCTTCATTTTTTGCAATAACTGTCTTATTCTCCCAGTCAGTATTAAATAGTTACACCTTCAGTTCCTTTAAGATCTTTTTATGCAACAAATATTGGTGGAGCACTCATTGTTTTCAAGAAAACAGAGTAAATACCTGCCTTCACAGGGTTTGCTTGGGAGGGGAGGCCTGTACTCAATTCTTTTGAAAGAACTCCCGAAATATAAAAGAGACAAAACATCGAAATCAATAATCAGAAACTCTATTTTAACTAATCCTCAAGGCTACACACCTTGATATTATTATGTCTTTACTAAAAACATACTCTACTGATATTTATTAAATATTTACTAAAGACAGACTCTACTGATATTTATACTTTATTTATACATATTTCCAAAGAAGCAAAAGAAGCTGTTCTCCAGGAGATACAACTAATAAACGATATATCCAAATCATAACACAATGAATCCCGGGCCCATGACCTTTTTACTACAGTCACAGGAAGCAGTGACTATTACTATGCATCTGGTTTCCCATGAAAGAGGCACCGTGCTGTGATAGCATACACAGCTCTTGGGTTCAGAGAGAGACAGATCCCAACCACGTGCTGAACTGTAAACTTCCTATATCATCTTATCTGCCTAAGAAGAGGAAAACGATCACTGTGATTGCGGTCCCGTAGAGATAAAGGAAATGGGGACAAAATCAAGGTTTTATCCCAGATGCTTTAGTTCCTTGACTAATAGTTCCTTGGCTAATAGTTTCTTGACTATGCATACCTACCTCCCCTACACTGACATATGCTAGGAATAAGGCCAAGCAGAACTAGAGTGTATACTTAAGCAGAAGGTAGGCACCCAAGGTTTCAGGAGGCAGCATAAATAATATAGCTATCAGAGGCCAGCACTGTGGCGCAGCAGGTAGAAGTTGCTGCCTGAGATGCAGGCACCCCATGTGTTCGCCAGTTGAAGACCTGGCTGCTGCACTTCTGATCCAGCTCCCTGCTAATGGCCTGGGAAAAGTAGCGGAAGATGGTCCTAGTATTTAGGCCCCTGCCACCCATGTAGGAGACCTGGTTGAAGCTCCTGGCTTCCGCCTGGCCCAGTGCTGGCTGTTGTAGGCATCTGGGGAGTGAACCAACAGATGGAAAATCTCTCTCTGTCTCTCCTTCTCTCTAACTCTTTCAAAATAAATACATAAATCTTCAAAAAAAATAGCCATCTACTAAGTGAAGCAAGGTTAAATATAGTAAAATATATGAAAATGTCTAAAACACAAATAATCAAATAGAGTTATTACTTTACTTAATGCTGTTAATGTTATTTATTCTTATTCTATATGACATGAAAGTGTAAAGAAGAGCTAATTCTTCATTCCAAAAGCAATTAACAATTTAAAATAATAATCTAAGTGAGAAGGCAACCTATGGAATGGGAGAAAACATCTGCAACCCAGATGTTTAAAACCAACACAGGGTTTAAAGCCAATATATAAGGAATTCCAGTAACTCAGCAGCAAAAACAAAGAACCCAATTAACAAATGAATGAAAGATTTAAAGATATTTTCTCAAGGAAGATACACTAATGTAAACAGGTATAAAAAGTGATCAATATCACTAATCTGGGAACTGCAAATCCAAAGGCAATATCATCTTTTACTTATTAGGTTGGCAAATATCAAAAAGGCAAAAGATAAGTGCTGGCAAAGACATGGAGAAAAGGGAACCCTTGTACACTGTTGGTGGGAATGTAAATTGGTATAGCACTTAAGGGAAACATATGAAAGTTCTTTAAAAAACAAACAAACAAACTCTTTTCCTCCCTGGCTATCCAAGGACAATCCTGAATAATACACTAACTCCCTGGACCAGGAAGTTCATGACCAACCAACAACTTCAGAAGAAACAAATGGTCATTGATGTCTTTCACCAGTGAAGGCTGCAGTGCCTAAGACAGAAATTTGGGAAAAAGACCTAATCAAAGACATAAGACCACACTGGATGTCATCTTTGTATTTGGATTCAGAAGGAATTTTGGTGGAGGCAAGAACACTGGCTTTGACAAGATGTATGATTCCTTGGATTATGAAAGAAAAATAAACCCAAACGTAGAACTGCAACACATGACCTGTAGGAGAAAAAAAAAAAAAAAAGACCTCAAGAAAGCACAGAGAAGGATCTGGAACAGGAGGAAGAGGGTCAGAGGGCTTGCAAAGGCCCATGTCGGTGCTGCCACACAGTGACCTGGGCCAGAGTAACAGCAGGAGGAGGAGTTACTCACAATAGGATTAGCAAACTGTAAAAACCTAAAGAAATTAAAAATAACAACTAAATGATACATTAAACTCACTTCTTGGTATATATCCAAAAGAAATAAAATCTCTGTATTGAAGAGCTATCTGTGCTCCTGTGCTTACCACGGCATTATTCCTAACAGCCCACTTTGACCATGGCCTTGTCTAAAAATGATCAGAGTCAGTGAACTCAGGGGGCTTCCATAGCCTTGGCAGCTCATGACAAGAGCCTAGGGTGATTACTGATGCCATAAACAAGAGTGTCAATTTGTTAAGTCAACAACAGGAGTCACTGTGCACTTACTCCTCATGTAGGATCTTTGTCCTTAGTGTGCTGTACATTGAGATTTAATGCTATAACTAGTACTCAAACAGTATTTTTCACTTTATGTTTCTGTGTGGGAGCAAACTGTTGAAATCTTTACTTAATGTATGCTAAACTGATCTTCTGTATATAAAGAGAATCGAAAATTAATCTTGATATGAATGGAAGGGGAGAGGGAGTGGATAAGGGGAGGGTTGCGGGTTGGAGGGACGTTATGGGGGGGAAGCCATTGTAATCAGTATTCTGTACTTTGGAAATTTATATTCATTAAATAAAAGTTAAAAAAAATAAAAAATAAACCAGCCCAGATATAAAAATAATCTAAATATCGATTGCCAGATGGATAAAGAACATGTGGTATACATACAATGGAATACTACTTAGTTTTAAAAAAGAAAATCCTGGGACTACCTTTGTGGTGCAGCACAC